TAAGTACCTATTTTGTAAGTACCTAAGCCTTCACTGTTATCTGTATTGTAGAAATATAGGTGATTTTAAATCAGTTTATGCTTAGATGGTGAGAAAAATGGCCCCTGTTGTACCAATTCTTCTAGCATACGATTCGAAAAGAGGGTCAGCAACTGTAAGGAGCAAAACAGGACTCAAGGCAACAACAAAAAGTCTTAGAAATCAAACTTCAGTTGTTTATGTACTCCAATCATAGAATGCCTCAAAGAAACAACAAAAATCATGCCTTAAATATGTTCCACACAGGGCCAACCCAAAAGCAAGGCCTAACCCAATATGTAACTAAAAAAAACAACCGTCACGAGACAAAATCAGGCCCAACACAAGGGACAAAACTGAATCATTTCGAGGCAAAACCGGGCCCCAAATCTCAGGCCAAACCAATCCCAGGAAAGGGGCAAAATCAGTATAGAAATTACAACTGAAATCCAGTCCTCTAGGGGCCAAAACTTAGCCCACCAAATGGAGAAAGATAAAGACAGTACATAACTTTCAGCTTTTATTTGGAGAGGAATAAGAATAATAAAGCTCAAGAATGAAGTCACAAATCATCACTTCATTGAATATGTGATTCAAATAAGTAAATCACAGAAAATATGGCAACCAAAATAATTTTCCAACATAAACATTGCATTTCACTCATATGTTTCAGCTCCCCAATTCTATAACCATTCTCACTCGTAATATTAAACTCATTAAAATCATTCAACCATCCAACAGATCCAACAGAGCTGCATAAATTTGGATATGCAGGACCCTATTTTTCCATTCAACTGATCCAGTGAAATGAAAATCTTCCCAAGCTTTCTTGCATTCAATATTTCCCCATCATTCAAAGCATCATTCAAAGAAGAATATTGATCCATACCATTCCAACGTGAAATTAAAAATGGTAAAAATTCCCAAGCATGAAAATTTTGAACAACGGAAAAGGATCCTAACTATTTCACAGTAAATCAAACATTCCGCTGCAAAAAATTCTCGCAGCAAAAAATTTCAATGTTTCATTTCTAACGACCATAAGAACATAAATTACTGTGAGATGGTAAACAGAAATTACTGTGAGAGGGTCGAATACGTCCTCGCGGGAAGAAAGGAGAGGGATATCAGGTAGGGCGAGAGTGTGAGGTCAAAAAAATATACCTCATATCGGGGATCACAGCCTCGTAAGCTTCGGGCGAGGTCGAGACAGAAATGGCGAGACGGGAAGGGCGAGGGCAAGGGGGAGAGACGGGAAGGACAGCACAGGAAAAATAACCCTAAATGCGAGAAGCATACGCGGAACGGAGTTTTTGGCCAGATTACGCCCCCTTAAGGGAATCGTGATAAGAGAAAGGAGCGGGCGCAAAACGTCCCACGCGAACGTTTTTTTCAAACGGAAGCCGATGCTCCCAATAGGCGCTCTCAAACGAGCCCTTAGTTTACTTGATAAAATTGCCATTCATTTTCAAGTTAATTTTGACACAAACTAGATTGCTGAGATGGGTGTGTGGCAAAACCAAGAATGATCGATGGAGAAATATTCATATTTAAATCATTGTGGGAGGGGCATCTCTTGAGGAGAAGATATTGAATAATTAAGTCAGGCTGGGGGCACAGGTAGATGATGCACCGCTTGTATGACCATATGAATTTAATGTGGAAGATTGGAAGAAAATGGTTTGAGGAAAGATAGCATGGATAGAAGATGTGTGCGTATAAGCTTTTGCCAAAATATAGTTGAAGTTTACTGATTCAATAGTGTAACATCTCTGTGGGGATGAATGGGGAGCGAAGATTTATTAGTCTTAACCATCCAACACTTGTTTTGAATTTAAAAATTAGGACAACCATTTCGCAAGGGTGCTAATAGTTTTGAAATTTCTTGTATTTGTACCCAAAAATGGGATGTCTGATATGATATTACCAGGCCATTTTCTCTTTATCTTTTTTGATTTACATTCCTTTTTATTATCCTCAAGCAATACCACGCTTTAGAAATAGAGAACTAGTAAAGAAAAGTTTGTCCTGTTAAACTTATCTTTATTAAGTGGAACTTATTTCCTTAGAAATTATTTCCGTCCAATAAACTTGTATATTGGTACGACAGTATTCTAGATTTTTTTTTTAAAATTTGGACAATTTTAAAAATCTATCAGTGATAATCATTTCTAACTATCAGAAGTCTTACATCACTCACCTTTACTACATCTTAGGGCCCAGGCTATAGCAGAACATTAACAAAGTAAAATTTGAACCCTATTCCCATCTTGATTCCCAGTATGTTTTTTGTTGCTACCTTGATCACTTTTATCAAATCGGAATATTCCTATAAATATGAAAGCAGCTGCAGAAGTAATGAAATAAAGATAAATGATTCATTTCAAGTCTTACACTAAGGTTATGCAAGCATTAGCTAAAGCATGGCATTGCATTTGAGGTGTATTAATTTTAATAATGGTACCTAAGGAGGTGTAGTTCACTTAGGGAAATGCAATATTTTCCCCGCTTTTTTTAAGGTGGGAAATATGTTACATTCTGCATTCAATATGGAAATTGTAAAGTTGCTTCTAGTTTTTTCTTATTTTCATTAGAACAATTTTACCATCATGCCTGTGTCTTATTATTTTTTGCATAATATCCTTAAATTTCCATTAGAAAGTTTCTTTTTCACATTTCCTATAGCATTTCTGATCACAGTATTTTTTGATACAGGCATTTTTGAACCACAGGGCATTGATGTTCCGGATCCTCTTCAAAGTGTATGTACTCGATGGGGTACAGACTCTTTTAGCTTGGGTTCATATTCTCATGTTGCTGTCGGAGCATCCGGCGATGACTATGACATCTTAGCAGAAAGTGTCGGAGATGGACGGCTATTCTTTGCTGGCGAAGCTACCGCAAGGCGATACCCTGCCACAATGCACGGAGCTTTCCTCAGCGGTCTTAGAGAGGCTGCTAATATGGCTCGCCATGCTAATGCCCGAGTTTTGAATATTGAAGTTGAAAGGAGCTTATCAAAGGACACCCAATCTTGTGCCGCACTTCTCGAAGATTTGTTTAGGGAACCCGACCTGGAATTTGGAAGCTTCTCCATTAATTTTGGTGGGAAAGCTTCTGATCCAAAATCTATTGCGATCTTGAGGGTAGCCTTAGGCGCTATAAAGAAGAAGAGTAATAATGAGGGAACGAAAGCAAGTCAACAACATTCAAACAAAGTGTTGTTTCAGCAACTGCACTCGCATTACAACCAGCAACAGCAGCTTTATGTCTACACTTTACTAACACAAAAACAGGCTTTGGAATTGAGAGAGGTTAGAGGAGGTGATGAAATGAGGTTACATTATCTAACTGAGAAGCTTGGTGTGAAATTAGTAGGAAGAAAAGGTTTAGGACCTGCTGCTGATTCTGCCATTACTTCCATAAAGGCTGAGAGGGGAAACCGAAGATCACAGTAAATCAGAAGATTTAAGCAAGTGGAATAAGTTTTAGCTGCTGTAGGTTTTGTAAAATGTACATGGTTATCATCCAATTTTGACACTCTGATTCCTGTAAATTTTATTTTTTATTGTTCTTGTAAATTGGAGGTATTTATTGCAATGAATTTTAACACTGGGACTTGAGGGATTGCAATTTTGAGGCTCAGATTTTTTCATTTATTTTGTATAGACAGCATGATTATGCAATTTGATACCACTATTTTAAATACCTATATGTTTCGGCATCTCTTTTTTCTTTTGTTTTTTTTTTGTATTTATTCGCCTTTGGGATTTCTTCGTGTTTATTGTTTACTTGTATATATTAACCTGACCTGATTTGTTGTGAGATGTAAACATTTCTGACTAGTAAGGCTGTAAAAAAAGTTCGTTGTTCGCGAACAGTTCGTGTACACTGGGACATGAGGGATTGCAATTTTGAGGCTCAAATTTTTTCATGTATTTTGTATAGGCAGCATGATTATGCAATTTGATGCCACTATTTTAAATACCTATATGTTTCGGCATCTCTTTTTTCTTTTGTTTTTTTTTTGTATTTATTCGCCTTTGGGATTTCTTCGTGTTTATTGTTTACTTGTATATATTAACCTGATTTGTTATGAGATGTAAACATTTCTGACACGTAAGGCTGTCAAAAAAGTTCGTTGTTCGCGAACAGTTCTTGTTCGGTTCGCGAGGAAGTTCGTGTTCGATTCGTTCGATATGCAAACGAAAAGAACACGAATATTTTTTTTCGTTCGGTTTGTTAAACGAATCAAACAGTATCAATATAAATATTATAAATATTTTAATTGATATAAATATTTTAATATTTTAGCAACATAAATATACAAGCAAATCTTAATATTTTCAAAAAATTCGAACAAATCAAACAATTCGGATAATTCAAACAATTAGAATAATTCGAACAATTCAAATAATTTGAACCATTTAGATAATTCGAACAATTCAAACATTTCAAACAATTCGAACTTATTTCGAACAAATCAAACCCGAAAACGAACAACACTTTTAACGAACAATTTCAAACACGAGTTTATTTCAAACACAAATAATTTCAAACGAACCAAACACGAACACGAGTTCTGTTCATTCGTGTTCGATTCGTTTACACCCCTACTGGCACGCAATAACTTTCTGTGAAACTGATGGTGTCATTTCATTCCTGTTTCAGTAAATGGCGATTTCATTGGTAGGTAACCACAAATTTTGATTATTACTTATTTATCGTTATTTTCAATGCGGTCTGGTCAGTCGATCTTAACCCGTAAGAATAAGTTATTAGTTTAAAAGAAAAGAAAAAGAAAATTTACATAAGTAGCACACAATTTTTATGGATTTATGTGTCTCACATCTAAACTTACATATTTACATGCATAGCATTTTACTCATGCATGAAAATGTGGGGTTGACCCTTAAAAATTGATAATTAGTGCTATTTTTAATGTGATTAGAAAGAATTGCTCGCTCCTTCTAAAAAATAATTCACTGATAGGGTCTAATACATAATAAATTTATATGAATATCAAAATATTAAATTAATTTCTCTTAAATTTACTGAAGTTAACAAAAATTTAATTAATTTATTACAAGTCAGCAACAATGAAAAATCTACTTTAGTTTATTACAAGCAACCAACAATGCAACACAAATCCACTAATATCAAGGTTTAGAAGACCAGTCGAACCGACTGGTTCGATTGTAAACCAGCTATAGGTCTGCTTCTGGATCGCATAAAAAACCCCTTCCGCATAGAATCGCCCAGAACCGAGTTGAACCGGCGATTCAACCACTGAACCGGCTCCAGTTCTAAGGAAGCGTTCAATTCTCGATTCTATGGCATTTACATACATACAACCCAATTTTATGTGTGTTACATATCTAACACCTAAGACGCTATTTTTTTACATTTATACCCAAATCACTCATCTCACATCAAAAAAATCATTATTACAAATATACATACATACCAATCAATTTTATTTATTTACATATATTTAACACAAAAACTCTTTTTATTTTACATTTATACCACCAAAATTATTCATATCACATAAGACATCGTTATTTTAATTTTTAAAAAATGAAATACATTTTTTTATGCATATATAAAATGACATATGCTAAAATTGAATTTTAGGTGTTAGTTATTTAAATACATATGAATTGAGTGTGATGAAAATCTTATGCATTGTTATTTTTAAATATAATTATTATTTATTAGGTCATGCGGTTGAACCACCGGTTCAACCTTTGAACCTTGAACATTGAACTTTTCCTTCTACTGGTTCATTGTCTAGTTCAACTTTCACAACCTTGCGCAAAATAAACGTCACAGATTTTTTCCATTATAATTTTATTAGACAATGATTAAATGGAACCAAGTCCAACAACAATTTTGACTTTGTTGTAAATCAATTTAAATCGTATTACTGAACATAAAACTTGCATGTATAAACTAACTTTGCACTTCACTATTTACATATAATTCATGGATATTAGGCAGTGCTATTCTTATAATACAACAATGATGACAACCTTTTATTCCACTAAGTGGGGTCAGCTACATGAATTTTTTTCTCCATCATGTCATATTAGTGTCAAATTTTCATTTAATTCAAATAATTAAGATAACTTTTTATACAGCACGCCCAAGTCATTTTAGGTCTACCTCCATCTTTCTTAATATAGGTTGAATCTAAAGCATCTAATCTTCTAATCAAATCATCAGTTGGTCGACGTTTAATGTAACCAAACCAACTTTGATGATTCTCTCTAATCTTGTCTGTCATTGGAGTTTAACTAACCCTTTCACGGATACATTCGTTTCACACATTGTCTCTAAGTTTCAAGCCTCTCATCCACTTATGCATTCTCATCTCAGTAACACCTAATTTTGTTTTATGCTTCTCTTTTAAAGGTCAATATTCTGCACCGCAAAGCATTGCAATTCTAACCACCATCTTATATAATTTGCCTTAAAGTCTAAGGAGTACTTTTCTATCACACAATAGGCCTAATGCATTCTTCCACTTCAACCATGCAATTGAATTCTACTAATAACATCCACATCTTCCACCATCACATTGAACTATAGACCCGATACATGTAAAACATTCACATCTTTTAATAATTTGATCTCCTATTGTTACAATTCTGCCACTAGATCTACTACTATTAAAATTACTATTCATTCATAGAGTTGTATATCTACTCAAATGAAGGCTTTTAGACTTTAATATATGCCTCTATAATGCAAGTTTTTTTATGAAATTTTTCTCTAGTCTTATGCAGAAGAAGGATATTATCAGTGAAAAACATACACTAAGGTACATCATCCTATAAATGTACACTAAGAGAATTCAAAACTAAGCAAAAAATAGGGGCCTATATCCTACCTTTGATGTAATCCAAATGAAATAGAAAAATGATTGGTTAATCTTCCTTCTATACGACCACAAGAAACAAATCTAATATATGTTGGTGGGGCTTTTTTAGTCTGTATCCACCACAGATCTTAGAAATTTTCTATTTAACTGATTGAATGAGTAATTTAAAAATTAATATACTAACCCGAATGATAAAAATATTACCTTTGAATTTATCTAATCACTCGAATGATAAAAATTTTTATGCTTTATAGGTCTACTGAACCAACATTTTTTCCTACCTTATGAGTAAAAGAGATATTTATTTTATTCTAGGGTATCTAGTATTCCTATGATGGGAAGCTCTCATAGTTAATTACATCTTAAGTGTTGTGGCTTCTGAGAACATTCTCTATTAAACTGTTGGCTTTTCTCTTATAAGATTATTCAGTAAATGTCTTTGGGAAGATTGTTGCTTGAGATTCATATTGTTAGAATCAAAGTTTGAAAAACTTTTCGTGGAATCAAAGGATTGGGACTTATAGTCTAATGATGATGTGTCATAGAAAAACACAGGAGAAGGGATAGCTAACACTGGAAAGGAAGCATAACCTAGGGATTTGAAACTATGAATTTGATTTGAATTGATTCACTTGAAGTGAATACTAGAGTTAGTTGGGTTTGGCTTAAGTAAGTGAATTCATTTGTTTAAAGTGCATTTAAAGTGTTTTGAAGTTGTTTTGAAGAAACTTGATTTGGTTTGAAGGTGGTTTAGTTTGTTCATTTTATGTATTCTTGATTAATTGTTTAAACTTATTTAGGTTATTTAAAATTCTTACTTAATGTTATTCAAATATATTTGTTTTGCTTTAAAGTTCTTTGAATTCGTCTAGAAGTTATTTAATGTTGGTTCAAGGTGCTTTAAGTTTGTTTTCTAATTGTTTGATCTGTTTTAAACATTGTTGAGCTTGTTTAAAGTTTATTAAAGTTTGTTAAATTTGGTTAAGGTTTGTTGAAGTTGGTTAAATTTAATTAAAGTTGTTAAAGTTTATAAGGATCTATTAAGGTTTTGCTAAATTTGGTTGAAATTTGTTAAATTTTATTGAAATTCCTTTTAAATATTTTAGATTTTAATTTTGAAAGGCTTTAAAGTTTTGAAAGTTTAAGATTTGAAGTCTTAAGTTTTTTCTTATATTCTTAGGAGGTTTTGAAATATATTAAATTCTGAAAATAATTTTGAAATTTAAGTGCTTGGAGTTTCATTGTTTTTGAAAGTTTTGTTTGTGTTTGAGCATTTGAAAGGGTTTTTGTCTCACTTTTGAGAAATGTTTTGATTGTTTGGAAAGTTTTAGAGTTTTGAAAGCACTTTGGAAATTTTAGGTTTATGAAAAGGGGTTGGAATTTGGTTTGAAAGGATTTGGAAAGGTGTAGGGTTTCAAATGGTTTAGAATTTTGAAATAACAAGTTGAATATAATTTAAGATTTTGAAGAGGTTTGGACTCGAGGTATGAGATTGAAGATTTGGATTTGAGTTTTGAGATGAGAGGATTGGATTTAAAATTTTGGGTTGAAAATTTGGATTTAATGTTTGGATTTGATCCTTTATTAGGGGAAGGATAGGATGGAGGGACACCTAGATGAAAGTGAAACCCTAACCCTAAAATAAGCCTAAGCTATTAAAGAGGCTAAATGGGAGGACTAACCTAAATTTTAGGAATAAATCCTCCAGTCAACATGCCCATAAATTTCCATTACCCTAGGTGCATTAGGATCCTTAGATTATTAACTAATTAAATAGTTTATGGTCTCCAATATTACAT